CAATTTTTCTCAGTCTTATGTAAACCATATCACAAACTATTTGTTTACTACAAACTGTTAACACCTAACTCAGGTATGAAAACTAATGATCACTATTAGACAGAGGAAACAATTTTTGAGAAGAATCCCACTGCTTTCCAAGATCTAAAACAACATGCTTTAGCTATCACAATCCATCTCTCTTATTGGAAAGAACCCCGTGAGTTCAGTAACAAGTTCCTTCCATTTCTAGTACCTTTAGCTAGTAGTTAGAGTAACTTGTTAAGTTTTGGAATATATATTTTAAAACTAATTGTAAATTTAATTTCCTATAAGCAGCAGCAATATCACATTTAAATTATGGTCATGCGTTGATTCCAGACCTTTCCTCTCCAATCCATTGACCAGGCAGCAGTTGTTATAGAGAATGAGAGATGGCCGACCCTGATTCAATTAGGCAAGCCATGGCCTGGATATGAACACGATTTGTCAGATAGATATCAGTCCCACTTTACAACAGTGGCACAATGCAGTGTTTGTTCTTTGGTGACTGCGTTATTTCACTCAGCATAGTGTCCTCCAGGGTCACTCATTTTGCATAATATTTCATCAGTTTCTTATTTTTCAGTGCAAAATAGTATTCCATTTTGTGTTGGAGAAGAGTATTGAGGGTACCATAGACTGCTAAGAAAACAAAGAGATTCATCCTGGAAAGGGTTAAAAGGGGCTGCTCCTTGGAGGCAAGGATTCTGAGGCTTTGTCTGACATTCTTTGGTCATGTTGAAAGGAGAGATCTGTCCTTGGAGAAGGACATTATGCTTGGGAGGGTGGAGGGACAGCGCAGGAGGGGAAGGCCCTCCAGTAGGTGGATTGATTTGGTGACTGGGGTAATCTGGACAAATTTGTCAGAGACAATGAGATTGGCACAGGACAGAGCAGAATTTAGGGTTGTTGTACATAGAGTCGCTAGAGACTTGACGGCACATAACAACAACAACAACAACCACACCTTCCCTATCCATTTGTTTGTTGATAGGCACTTGGGTTGCTTCCAACTCTATGCTACTGTGAACAAAGTTGCTATAAACATGGATGTGCATATATCCGTTTGGGTTGCAATTATGGTTTTTTGGGAATATATTACCAGTAGTGGAATTGCTGAGTCAAATGGCATTTCTATTTGCAATTTTTTGAGAAAGTGCCATACTGCCTTCCATGGTGGTTGCACCATTTTACACTCCCATCAACACTGACTGAGTGTTCCAGTTTCTCCACAACCTTGCCAGCATTTGTTGTTTGCTGTTCTGTTAAATTTTGCTATTCTTTTTTTTTTTTCTATAATTATATTTTATTAATTTTCATAAACATTTACAGAGATTTTGGGCTTCCACTCATTCATTGTTGCACTATTCTCTCTACCCTCCTCCCAGTTTGTTCTTGTCCAAATGCCACAGTGCTTGTCAAAGCCAGTTCTGATTAATCTTCTTTGTCAGTGTGTCCTTTGCCATTCCCTATCACTCCTCCCTGAGAGAGACTTCACCCTGAGTCATAAGGAAAAGGGGACGGCGTATTCTCTTAGCTACTTCCTGCTGAAAAGGGACGCTGTGGGTTTCAGGGTGAAGAGCTTCTCTCACTACTCTAAAGGGCCCCTTTGGCAGTAGGAAACACATAGACTATTATGGAGATTGATTTTGGAATTCAGATGCACTCTTATTGATTGTGCTTGGCTGTACATGTACATATCCTTCAAGACATATCATGGGGGTGTTGCAACCTAGAAGACACAAATCTGACTAACAAGTTATAAGTACATGAGTCCAAAAATTATGGAAAAGTAAAAGAAAAGATTCTTTCATTGTTTTACAAACCCTCCCCCAGGTCCCCTCTACCATGCAGCCCTCGCTCTAGTCTCCTGTGATGACAGTAATACCCAGTTACATCTATCTTTTAGACGGTTCTCTCCCTCCTCTGCTTCAGTGCAGTATACATTATTGAACCCATCTTACTCAGTGTCTCCCTAACCCCAAGGACAGTCCCATTCTACAACAGTGGCATCATGTAATATTTGTCCTTTTGTGACTGGGATATTTCACTCAGCATAATGTTCTCCAGAGTCAACCATTTTGAATAATATTGCATGAGTTCCTTGTTTTTTAATGCAGCATAGTATTCCATTCTGCGAATATACCACAGCTTCTCTAGCCATTCGTTTGTTGATGGGCACTTAGGTTGTTTCCAACTCCTTGCTATTGTGAACAAAGCTGCAATGAACATGGGTGTGCATATATCTGCTTGGATGTCAGCTATGGTCTCTTCAGGGTATATTCCCAGTAGTGGAATTGCTGGGTCAAATGGTATCTCTATTTGCAACTTTTTGAGAAAGCGCCATACTGCTTTCCACAGGGGTTGCACCATTTTACACTCCCACCAACAGTGAATCAGGGTTCCAGTTTCTCCACAACCTCGCCAGCATTTGTTGCTTGCTGTTCTGTTAAATTTTGCTATTCTTAACTGCAGTGAGATGATATCTCCTAGTTGTTTTGATTTGCATCTCTCTTAGAGCTAGGGATTTTGAACATTTCTTCATGTGTTTGTTGGCCATATGAATGTCTTCTTTGGTGAAGTGTCTGTTCATATCCTGTGCCAATTTTTCAACTGGCTTGTTTACCTTTACCTTGCTGTGGTGCTCAAGCATTTTATAAATTCTAGATATAAGTCCCTAATCTGACATATCATGACAAAATATTTTTTCCCAGTCTGTGGCTTCCCTTTTTAACCTGTTGGAGAACTTTTGGATGTGCAGAGGGATTTGATTTTTAGAAGATGTCATTCATCTGTTTCATCCTCTCTTGGTTGTAGATTTTTCAGGATGCTTTGAAGACTGTTTATGTTGTGGATTAGGACTACTAGAGTTCTTCCAAGCTTTTCTTTAATGAAGTTTATAGTCCTTGGTTTCAGTCCTAGGTCCACGATCCACTTTGAGTTGATTTTTGTGTATAAAGTGAGGTATGGATCTTGCTTGAGCTTTCTAAAGATGGTTTTCCAATTTTGCCAGCACCATTTGTTAAAAAGGCTGTTATTTCCCCACTTAACTGATTTCATCTTTTTGTCAAAAATCAGTTGACCATAGGTAGATGGACTGATTTCTGGATTCTCAATTCTATTCCACTGATATATGTGTCTGTCATTATACCAGTACCACACTGTCTTGACCACCACGGCAGTGTAGTAGGATTTGAAATCAGGAAGTGAAATTCCTCCTACCATATTTTTCTTTTTTTAAGGAGTGTTTTGCTTACTCGAGACTTCTTTACATTCCAAATGAAATTGGAGGTTGCCTTTTCCATCTCATTGAAGAATGGGATTGCTATTTGTATTGGAGTTGCATTGAACATGTAAATTGCCTTTGATAATATTGTCATTTTCACAATATTGAGTCTTCCTATGCATGAGCAAGGAATATTCTTCCGTTTCTCAAGGTCTGTTTTTGCTTCTTGTAGTAATGTTGTGTAATTTTCTTTGAATAGATATTTTGTGCTTCTGTTTAGATTCACTTTCAAGTATTTAATCTTGTGATTGACTACTGTGAAAGATACTGGTTTTCTTAGCTCCGGCTCTGTATTCTTTTTGTCACTGTAGAGAAATCCAACTGATTTTTGTATGTTGATCTTGTATCTTGTATCCTGCTACTTTGCTGAATTGGTTAACTATATTCGGTAGTTTTCTTGCTGAGTCTTTAGGGTTTTCTAAGTATACCATCATATCATCTACATACAGAGATAATTTTATCTCCTCTTTGCCAGTTTGGATACATCTTATTTCCTTCTCTTGTCTTATTGCTATCTCTAAGACTTTCAATACAACATTGAATAAGAGAGGTAATAGTGGGCATCCCTGCCTAGTTCCTGTTATTTTTTAAATTTTTTTATTAATAATTTTCATGAACATTTACAGAGATTTTGGATTTCCATTCATTCATTGCTGCACTTCTCTCCCCGCCCAGCCCTCCCCACCTCCCCAGTTCGCTCCTCTCTTTTGAAAGTAAAAGAAACACTCCCTCTCTGGTACACAATCTCCCCACCCTGCACAACTACCACCGCCCCAAGTACATTCCACTATGCAACCTTAATTGTGGACTCTTGTGATAACCATAAT